GTACCTTTTTATTTATTTATTTATTTATTAGAGACAGAGTCTTTACCTTGTTGCCCTCCATAGAGTGCTGTGACATCACAGCTCACAGCAACCTCCAGCTATTGGACTTAGGCGATTCTCTTGCCTCAGCTTCCTGAGTAGCTGGGAGTACAGGAGCCCGCCACAATACCTAGCAAAGTTTTTTGTTGCAGTTTGGCCAGGGCCAGGTTTGAACACGCCACCCTCGGTATATGGGGCTAGCGCCCTACCCACTGAGCCACAGGTGCCCCCCTACAGTGTGTACCTTTTTAAGACATAATGCTATTGCACACTGAACAGACTGTGGTAGAGTGTAAACATATTTTTTTAAACATAATTTTTATATGCACTGGGAAACCAATAACTTCGTGGGACTTGCTTTTCACTGTGGTCTGGAAAGTATGCCTGTGGAACCATCAGGATGTGGTGAATCAGATACAGGATAGGAAGAAGTTAAGAATGAACCCCTGATTTTGGCTCAGGTAAATAGCTGTAAAGGACTGAACTATGTCTCCCCAAAAACTTGTATGTTAAAGTCCTAAACCTGAATGTGGCTATATCTAGAAAGCCTGGAAAGAGTAATTATGGTTAAATGAGACCCTAAGGATGGAACCTTAATCCAACATGACCAGTGTCTTTTAAGAATAGAGACACAAGAGATGTGTATGCATAGAGAAAGGGCCACCTGAGGAAACAGCCAGAGGATGGCCATCTGAAGCCAAGGAGAGAGGCCTCGGGAAAAACCAAACCTATGGACACCCTGATCTTGGACTTCTAGCCTCTAGAACCATGAGACAATAAGCCACTAAGTCTGGGGCATTTTATTATGGCAGCCCTAGCAAACTAATACATTTGGTGAATGAAGAGCATCAACCACTGACTACAGGATTGGACCTGGGAGATGGCAAGTGGAGATACCCAGTTGGCTCTTGACTATTCATGTTGGCAGAATGAGCCAGAGGTAGAGAGACTGGGGTGTTATTAATGAAAGTGGAACCATGGGAATGAATCATATAACCTATGGAGATGTAACGAGGGAAAATAAGGTGGTCATGATGCAACCCTAGGAAACACATCCAATTGGACTCCACAGAAATTTTAAAATAGACAGAGAAACTGTACAAGGAAAATCTGGAGAGATTAGGGCCATGAAAAGTAAGAGAACACTTGAAGTAGGCTCAACAGAGCCAACTATAACAAGAACATCAATCCAGATAAAGACTGACTGAGAAAGTTGGCAAAGTGGAGACCAATGGTCTCCTTGACAAGAAAATGATAGTGGCTGGTTAGCAGCAGACACCACATGCCAAAGGGTTTAGGTGTGGATGAGCAAGGAAGGAGAGACAGAACGGATAGACAACTCTCAAGAAGTTTGGTTGCTAAAGACAAAAAAACTGGTGGCTGGAAAGAGACATCAGGTTGAGACAGGACCGCCGTAAGGTTTAGTATTCTTTATCACACACAGCCATTAAAGGAGAGACTAAAGATACAGATGTTAAAAGTTCAGGGAGAAAAGGTGGGGTCAATGGAAAAAAAAGAAAAAGGTACAGGTGGATGAATGGTACACACACGTAAGGAGGGTTGTCTTTTCCACTGTGAAGAGAACAAAGGAGGGAGGTAAGAATGTAAGAGAGCCCGTAGGCAGAAGGCAGGAAACTGAGGTTTCCTCATCTAACATTCTCTCTTTTCTATCAAGCAGGAAAAGTACAGTCATCCACCAAAAGTGAAAAGAGTGTCAAGGGTACACCATTTCAAGAAAATGGCAAAACTTTTAAAAGAAAGCTGACTAGGGGAGACGACAGGATGGCTAAACAGGTCTGAGATCCGGGTAAGGTTTGAGACCACATAGCTACAGTGGCACCACTTGGCAGCTGAACCAGGAAGAAAGGAAAGTCATTAGGTTAGGCCACAGTGGGGCTCTGCTAGGGAAAAGCAACGCAAGGATGGACATCAATGACTCCAAGAAGAGCTGGACTGCCTCCTACCTTTGCTTTCCCCATCACTTCTTTGTCGGTTTCATTCTTAACCAAGGAGAGCAGTTCTCACTCCTAACATTAAGACCCACCACTCCCTTTTCACAAATCCTTTGCTTCATTTCCTATCCCAAGGTCATGACAAAGATAATATACTTAACAGATACAAGTTTAAAAGATGCACTTAATGCCCTAAGAGTAATAGACATATAAAGGAGATGTAAAATGAAGTTTATAATAAAATATGTATTTGTATCTGGATATCTCAAGCATAAATACAACAAAAGATATGATACAGTAGATGCATCCTCAGGAAGACACAGGTACAATCACAGACTACTCAAGGCATGCTATATTGGAAACTCAAATACTATCAGCAGTGTGACAGGTCCTTTAGGACCAGTAAAAATCAATCAACTGATGAATATAAAAAAAAACAAAACTGTGAAGACTCAAGCTGGGAGAATAGTAATTTTAAGTATAAGAACTAGAATCTTTTGGTGTGGTTTCAGGCACCAACCCAGCACCTCAGAAATGGAGGAAAAAGGAAACATGTAAAACTATCACAAGCAGTTTACCATCTAGCTTCTTTGGTCATCACCACATTTCCTACGACTCCAAAGTTTGGGGAGGGGATAATGACAATCCTACTATTAGCAGTGACTATCCTGGATTAGGAACATGAGTATAGTCTGCATTGGGGGCTTCAACCAACGCCCTAATGTTACCCAAGTGGGAACCATAATGCCTCTCATCTGGACAGTAAAAAGCAAAAAGGGCTTCAGGAGGCAGAAAGCTCGGCGTTATACATGGCTTGAGCTGGCCCAAAGGCTCTACCACCAAGCTAAATCATCTGTCAACGTCATACTATTGATGAGGACACCTTGTGTCAATGTTGTATTTGTGAATAACGCCCCTCTGCGTGTGCAGACCTGAGGACAGCTGCCACATGCACCAGGTGAGAAAGTGCAGAGTTCAAGGCCAAACTGCCCATGAGAACCCTAGTGGAAAATGAGCATTCTGACTGAGCCCCCATTTCCACAATTTCTGGAGCCTCCAATCCCATACTCTGCTTCCTTATCAAATAACCTAGTGGTTTGGGGAAGCAAATATTAAGCCACACTGCTGTCAGTTAAAAGCAAGATGAGGCCTCAGAGGAACAAGCAGGTACAGGGGTACCAAGGGTCAGGGTGGAGAGCAGATTCTAAACAAGAACACAATTGCAGAAAAGATGGCAAGACGGGGCGGTGCCTATGGCTCACTGAGTAGGGCACGGGCCCCATATACCAAGAGTGGCGGGTTTGAGCCTAGCCCCCACCAAACTGCAACAACAACAATAAAAAAATAGCCGGGCGTTGTAGTGGGTGCCAGTGGTCCCAGCTACTCAGGAGGCTGAGGTAAGAGAATCGCCTAATCCAAGAGTTACAGGTTGCTATGAACTGTGATGCCACAGCACTCTACTGAGGGTGACAAAATGAGACTCTGTCTCTAAAAAAAAAAAAAGGATGGCAGGATGTACAGATCAGGAGAGCTAAGAGTCCTCATTTTGCCACTTACCATCAGGGCACTTTGAACTTTCAGGCTTCTGTTTTCTCATATGTATAGTGAGGATGACTGTAAGACTTACCCATATCAGCCTCAGGACTGTCTGGATGGAAGGGACTGAATGACTTATTTTAAGTCAAGACCCTCTGTAAAAGCACTTTACAAATGTGTTACTATTGTTATTGTCATTATTTTTTGAGGGGTTGGAGGGAGGCAGGGTCTTGCTATTTTGCCCAAGTTGGGTTCAACCTTGTGATCCTCCTGCCTCAGGTTCCTGAGTAACTGGGACTTTATCTACATGATACCACACCCTGCAACCATCATAATTTTTTTTTTCACTCTGTCACCCCAGGTAGAGTGGTGTGGCATCATAGCTCACAGCAACCTCAAACTCTTGGGCTTAAGTGATCTTCAACCTCAGCCTCCCAAGTAGCTGGGACTATAGGAGCCCACCACAATGCCCAGCTAGTTTTTCTATTTTTAGTAGAGATGGAGTTTCACTCTTGCTCAAGCTGGTCTTAAACTCTTGAGCTCAAACAACCCACCCACCTTGGCCTCCCAGAGTCCCTATGTCTGTCCAACTATCCTTATTTTTAAGGAAACAGCAGAACCACGGAAAAAGATGACCCTCTAGGTCCTTAGGGCAGTCAAAGAACAAATGGGTGTACATTTCATGCAAGTCAAGCTACCTTTCCTAATCTACTGGATGAAAGACAAATTGCTGAGAGTTAGTGTGCCTATATGGAGTCTAGAAAGAATAGTTGGAAAAACCTACAAAGCTGGGAGCTGTTCAGCTTCACTTAGGTTTTTGAGAAATATCCTTTTCCCAAAATTTCCCCAAAATGTGTTCCACTACTTATTACCCAAAAAGATTTGGTGGTAAAATGAGTGTGGGCACAGGCTTCCTCCCCAGGACTTCTCATAGACCTCAACAATGAATTTCCAGTGAGGATATGAAATGCAGGGAGTGCCAAATTTATTTAATAACAGAACCCCTATTCCACAGAGTTTCTTACAAGGGGTTTCATGAAACATACTGTGGGAATTAAACTTACTCTCCAGTTGGGAATAATGTTATTTGGGCCAGCTTAAAAGGGAAACAAGAATACTTTAACATTTGATCAACAGTAGACAGTTGCTGGACATTTTAGAAAAAGGAAAATTCCATTATTTAAAGATCGTACTGAAATAGCATCACATTTCCCTGAACCACCATAATCCCAGCCCCTTAAGATCCATAAGCTATGCCACCCCATGTTCCACAGTCGCATACGTTAAATCTACATTTTTATTTTTTTGTTCTAAAAATGTGCTTTTTCCTCAATGAATTTTAATATCAGTCCAGAACCTCCACCTCCCCTGGACAAAACAAAATAAAACAAAACACACACACACATACACACATGCCACCCTCCAACCAGGTGAAAAGTCCCCGGCGATAAGTCTATAAACAAATATTGACACGGGGGGAAAAAGCATGTTGAAATGTATTAGAATCAGAACCTGTACAAAAAAAAAATTAAAATATAACCTGAAACTGTTCAAGTTCAGAAAATCTAGTTAAGTCCTTTTCTCTTGCCAGGAGAATGCCATCATCAGGGCTCTGGGGCATCAGCCAAGGAGGGGTGGAAAGACAGAGACAGAAGCAGCAACAGGTCCTTCACCAGAGGGCATCCTCGGCACCACCGTCGCCACTTCAGGTGTAGCCAGGAGGAATTAAAGGTCTCAGGAGAGCAGTGTTGGCAGATAGCCCCAGTGGGCAGCTGGGGCCTACACACCAAAAACAAGGCTGAGTCGTCAGAGGCAGCAGGAAGAGCAGCCAGCAGAGAGCCCAGCTGTAGGAAACAACTTCTGCCACCCAGCAGACCCACAGCACCCTCCATTCTGCTCAGATGCTAGTTAATCGACCCACTGCTCCCAACTAATGAGAGATCAGAGCTGGGCTTAAGAGGCTGAAAACCCGCAGGTTTAGTAAACATAGCCCAGCATCACATCCCTCCATGGCCTGAATTGGAGCTGCCAACAAGGGATAAGGCAGGAGAGGGAAAATGAAGCATTTTGATACCTGGCGAGAGATGGCCTGCACCACTGGATACACGGGGCTGGAGAAGGAACACTCCCCCCTCACTTACGGAGGGGTCTCCTCCACAGTCATCTCTGGGGGCCAATTAAAGCTGCCTCTGGCTTATGGACCAGCCTGACAAAATGACGTGGAGCAAAAGAAAAACTGGGAGGGAGACAAGCCCTTACACAGAGACAAGAACCTCGTGAAGGGAAGCTGGGCAGTGTCTGACCCTGTTAGGATGGCATCAGTGAAGCCCCTGAGTCTGAAGGGAACAACTGGGGAAGGAGGAAGTTGGTAAGGAAGAGGAGTAACAGTTTTTCTGGAACAGTACCAACAGGGTGGGGAGGCGCTGGTGAGGGGGTGGGCAGGTCTGGAACTCACTGTAGGTAGAGAGGGGAGGAAATAGGCCCTTGGTGTCCCCTCCCCACCTGACCCAGGCCTGGTGAGTGCCAGCTGCCCCAGCCGGCCCTAGTGGCGGCTGGAGACCAGACCTTTCACTTTGGACATCTTCTTGGTAGGCTGCCTCTGTTCAGCATGAGGAGGACACTCCCGTTCAGCCAGCTGCTGCTCCATCTCCTGAGCCGAAGAAGATGCCGTGGCTTTGAGTGTCTTCTTGATGTTGGTAACCTGGAGTGAGATACAGAAGTGGTGTGCTCAGCCTACAAGGCCCAGAAACTCACCAACACTTGCTCTCACTATAATAAGGGCCACACAGAAAAGAAGCTAAAAGTCCTCTGCAAAAAACCCTGAAATTATCTTCAGAAACCAAGGTGAGGAGAAACAATTATGGGCTACTTATGGAAGATGTGGAAATAAGTCAAGCAAAAAGGTGGAACCAAGGGCTTCCTTGGTTGAAACAAGTAGAAATAAACAAAGGTGAGAGAATAATGGTTAATTGTCCTTAGGAAAAGAAAGTAACCCAAGAATTCCATATTCAACTAATAGTTATTCACGTATAAACCACACATATTTTCAAGGTTTTTTTTTTTTTTTTGAGCCTCAAGCTTTCTCCCTGGGTAGAGTGCTGTGGCATCACAGCTCACGGCAATCTCCAACTCCTGGGCTTAAGCGATTCTCTTGCCTCAGCCTCCCAAGTAGCTGGGACTACCAGCGCCCACCACAACACCCAGCTATATTTTGGTTGTAGTTGTCATTGTTGTTTGGCAGGCCTGAGCCGGACGAACAACCAGGCCGGCTCTGGTTGCTGGTAGCTGGCACCTTAGCCACTTGAGCAACAAGCGCCGAGTCGTGCTCTCCAATTTTTAAATTGGCTCCCAGTTTGTTTTTCAGTGCTTCTATAAACAGCCTTCCATGTTTACCTTTGCAAACTTTTGTGACCATTGATGGACACATACTCCTGGAAATGAGCCTTCCAGATCAAGTGGACATGTAATATTTTACATTTGCATCAGAATTGCTATATGGCCTTCTGAAAAGTGATAGCACTGATTTGCACTTCTACCTATTGTGTACTCCAGGAGTACCTGTTTACACATTCTCTTGAAACCAGTTCCTTTTTTTTTCTTTTGCAGTTTTTGGCCAGGGCTGGGTTTGAACCTGCCACCTCCAGTATATGGGGCCGG